AGGCATATCATTTTACTCCCCAATTTGCGTCTTTTCATTAAACCGAACTTTACAGCCAGACCAGATCAGGTAAGGGCGATGAATGGCTCTGCTGCTTTAAGGTCAACAGCAAATCTGGATGGCTGAACTTGCCGACTTGGTCGTTGAAGGTGTAGATTGTCCTACAAACCAGGTGAAGCAATAATAAACTGACCAAGCTATACTGGCACTGAACTAATTTCTATCAGAACAGCCTCATGCGGCTTAAAGCTGGTGATGATTTTTGAAAAAATTGACGCTTCCGTAGGCTGTTGATGAGAAGTTAAACATCTTTCAATTCAATTTACCAGCTGTAAACCGTGTACCGTTGGAACACTGGTTCGAACAGCTACAGTTTCGATAATCGGAAAGTGCTTTCAATTCATTCAACAGACCAAAACCGTGTACCGTTGGAACACTGGTTCGAACAGCTACAGTTTCGATAATCGGAAAGTGGGGGAGTACGGGACACAGCGAAGCCTCGGGGGTGATTGCATGTTCAGTTAGCGCGGGAACCGGGTGCCTACACACAGAGGGCAATTGCTTTGACGCACGCGTGCCACTGACTGCGCTATTGAGTTATTTCTGCCAGCGCCCTTAACCATTTGTGAGTTGAGTCCCAGAGTCCCCATCCAAGGGGGCGGCAGTTGTTCCGCCGAGTGAGTTTAATGGTTAACGTTTTCACACTTCGTTACCAGGTTGTACACCGTCCACCTCTCGGTCGCTACCATTCAATACAAGGATGGGCGAAAAGTGCTGTGAGGCAGACCGTCATCTGGCATGTCCTAACCAGCGTAGTCTATGAAGCGTGATTAATTCATCTATCGCAGAAGTGTTCCTTCTTCTTAACACCTTCTAGGGTTCCGATATTCCGACTAGACCTGACCAAAGCACCGGATACGCCGATGGTCAAACAATGGTATTTTTCATATGTCCTCTACGAGCAGAGGCCACTTTTCTGGTTCATGGAGCAGTACGAATCGCACCGTGGTACAACCACTAACCCACCGCTGCGCACCACTGCGCTCCTTAGTAACGCACTGATTATGTCACCTCGATTGGTGATGAAACGTTTGCTATCAAATTGCCCAGCTCAGCAAACAAGCCAACGACCACCTACCCTACCTGAGCTACCAACATTTTCCTCCCTCCTTGATAGACAAACTGACGTCGTGTCGGCGCCATAGGTGTCGGAGGTTGGCAAAATCAGCTCTGGTCTTTCCGATTCGAGAACTCATATCTACAGCCAGTCCACCGAAAAGTGTAAAACTGCCCAGGTAAACTAGTTTATCCACAACGTCGATTGGCTCGCCTGCAAGCATGAGGTTTGGGTTTGATCCCACCCATTCTTGTAGCAGCGCTTTACACTTTGCAGTTGTCAATCGCATGCCAAACCGTGTGGTAAAGTAGTTTGCATCTTTAAAGGACCTGAACCCAGGTGCGATATCGTGCACTTACTCAGTGTGTGTGAACAAGCGTGCCGGTAGCATTTCGATTCCTGTGTTTTTAGACACAGGCAGAGAAATTTCAAGCAACGCATCAATGATACAGTTACAGAGGAAAGATGAGATAGGGAAGCCTTGTCTTACACCACTGGACGTGGTGATCTCAGGCGAGAGCTTCCCGTATACTCGTACGCGCCGCAGGAATTCGCATACGGTACCCTTGTGGGGGATAGAAGTTTGATCGTCAGACAATGCCAAAGTTTCTGATGATCGACAGAATCAAAAGCAACTTGCAGATCAAGGAAAAAGACCAACGCGAGATCTGTGAAAGGGTGGCATTATGCAAGAATTCGTCTGAAGGTTAAAATATGGTCCATGCATCCTCGGCAAGGGCGAAACGCAGCTTGATTTCCGCGAATCTATCCTTACAGATAATCGATGAACCTGCGCAAAGTAAAGCCAGAGAGCACCTTAGATGCAACGGATACCAGGCTGATACCACTTTTTTTTCACATGACATTCTCGCGCTATTTTTGAAAATCGGGATAGCGATCGAGGAGCTCCATTCGGCTGGAATTCTGTTTTCGTCTAAAGTCTTCTACAGTGTGGTTGTCTGACTGTTCACCAGGACCTAGCCATCCTCTTTGAAGAGTGCTGTGTGCAGGCCATCCGCACCAATTGCCCTGTCGCTCTTCCATTCAGATTCCAAGAAATCTTCGTCATGCGCATGACTGTGAGTTTCCACTGGCTTCTGGCCAGATCAGCTTGATACTCTTGAGCTACTGAAAATGGCCGCAGTTGATGAGTGAAACTGCTCTGGTTTCGCACGCGTAATGCTGACGGGAAGGGGAGTAATAACCGGACTCGCACAATGGCATGATCGGAGTCAAGTTGCGTTAATGCTGACGGAAGGGGAGTAATAACCGGACTCGCACAATGGCATGATCGGAGTCAAGTTGCGTACCCCAGATGGAGCGGCAGTCCTTGGTTTAGGGTCTCCATTGGTAACTGATAGCCACATGGTCTAAGTAAGTCCATGACTGTCTTACGGCTGGCGGCCTCCAAGTAACTCGATGTGAGCGTTTGTGTTGGAAGTCTGTACTGGCCAGGAATAGACGATGATCTGCACACATCTGAGGCATTCGCTCCACTTTATCCGTACGCTGAGCATTGACTCCAAATCCATCACCCAATTGACCGTCAAAATTGGGCGTTCATATCACCTGCAAGGACTAGCGCATCTGTCTTTCATGCTGATCGAAGCAGTCGTGATAAATCTTTCTCAGTCTCAGAAGTGCAGTCTACTGGGACGTTAGGTGATGTGGCAAATACACAACATGTACCGCGACGACCTGCGTTGATCCTAATTGAGCCAGACAACCGCACAACCCAAAGGCGACTGTTTACTTGGATCCAGTCCAGTAAGAGGCTTTCATCATTGGGGCACCCGATCGGTCTCTGCCGTAAAGCCGTGATATATCCCCGTCTTGGCAACAAGACACCGAATGTAGATGATTTTTCCATCCACAAATGCCTGACGATTTTTCTGAAATTTGACCTCCCACGTCGTCACCCAAGCTCACTATTTGAGTGACCAAGATTTATCTACACGTTCCAATAGGTGCGACCCAACAAGTCTAAGTCTGTCGATTCATCGTCTGGTCTAAATATAGATGCAGCTATTCAAATTCATCCAGGAATCTCCCTGTAATGACTGATCGGCCATTCGCAGGGACTTACTAAAATAATGTACACAAACCCATAATCTAAAGCACTTTCTGCAAAGGTCTATCTATTGTTAAATAGCACTGATTGTGTGTCGTGATGTCATATGACTACGCTGGAATGTTTGCCTCGACTTTAGCCTACATGCTCCAAGTTGCTTGGCCAGGCACGTAAACTCATTCGTCCATATTACTCTCGTTTGAAGTCCTCTACCTAACCTGGTGAGTCAAAATAATGAAAGCATTGTTTTTGGATCTCACTCTGACGAAAGCATATCGGCCCTGCGCGAGGCGAGCGTGTTACCTTTATTCCATCTACGAGCAAGTTCGAATGAACCAATCAGGTTAGTCAGCGAAAAATGAGTGCACATCTCGCTGAAGTATAAATTAGGCAATCTACATTTCGTTGGCATTTGTTAACCCACATGCCGTAACTGTATGTCACCTGATCAGCCATGGTAGTGCAATGCTCTCCCCACAAAAAGACCCCTTTTTCGGAGAGATTCTTTTCGAATCACGCCAGTTTTTGTATTGTAATCCTCCGTCGAGGGAAAATACCCAGCAGAATCGAAGAGATGACGTTCTGGTCCTTCAAATGACCGATTCAAGCCGCAGTGGAAATACCATCCCATTGACCCAAGTTATCAGAAGAAAACTTTTGATTAGAGGTAACAACTAAGTTAGCCATAGCACCAGTCGTCGGAACATAGGAAAACTTTCAATGTGAACTTGAGGCAGTGATAAGGAAACACGATGACCTAATATCTATTGAGTTCCTCATTGCTAACATTGTTTTCGCTGCTAGAACTGTAACTCACTGGATGATAAGGTTGTCGCAATAGGGAAATTGTTCAGCTTGAAATCCGTTCAACCTGATAGATGAACCTTATTTAGTGCACTTTACCATCATTGTAAGTGGTGTACTCTGGACTATAGGTTGCCTCGCAAAAATGGGGTCTCTTCCATTTATTATCCAAGTATCCGTCCACTCCATCCACAACATCTACTCTATTCCGCTCGACCAGCCTTGCGTGCAAAACCGACGCACCATACACACGATGGTATATGCCCACGTCGTCCACTGGTCGAATGATGACTTTGTGTACCTTTTAAAAAAGTGATCAAATTATTGACCGATTCACGTATAAAGTGGGTGGATGTATTTTTTGACCCCCACACTAGCACAATCACCTCCGTCCTTGCTCGCTCAATTTTTAGGTCTGTTTTCGTGTCAAATTTGCATTCGATCGTTTGTCCTCTTTAGGCTAGCTTACCGTGTTCACAACGTGAATTAGCGGCGGATTGTATATAGGGTGCTCACTTTCGACCATGCTTTTCAAATTTGGCCAACTGTACACTTCTGAATGTGCGCTTTTGTGTGTGCGTTTTTCTATGTGCAGTACGAACGTTTGTTTGTATGCGCTCGTCTAATGTCCCTAGTGCGCAGGCTTTGAAACGGCGAAGATGGTTGTTGTCCTCCGGGTCCGCCGTTCATAGTTGGCGGTGCGCATGCACACACGCATCGGCCTATCGACTGGAGCGGCAGTCCTTGATTGAGAGTCTCCATTGGTAACTGATAGCCACATGGTCTAAGTAAGTCCATGACTGTCTTACGGCTGGCGGCCTCCAAGTAACTCGATGTGAGCGTTTGTGTTGGAAGTCTGTACTGGCCAGGAATAGACGATGATCTGCACACATCTGAGGCATTCGCTCCACTTTATCCGTACGCTGAGCATTGACTCCAAATCCATCACCCAATTGACCGTCAAAATTGGGCGTTCATATCACCTGCAAGGACTAGCGCATCTGTCTTTCATGCTGATCGAAGCAGTCGTGATAAATCTTTCTCAGTCTCAGAAGTGCAGTCTACTGGGACGTTAGGTGATGTGGCAAATACACAACATGTACCGCGACGACCTGCGTTGATCCTAATTGAGCCAGACAACCGCACAACCCAAAGGCGACTGTTTACTTGGATCCAGTCCAGTAAGAGGCTTTCATCATTGGGGCACCCGATCGGTCTCTGCCGTAAAGCCGTGATATATCCCCGTCTTGGCAACAAGACACCGAATGTAGATGATTTTTCCATCCACAAATGCCTGACGATTTTTCTGAAATTTGACCTCCCACGTCGTCACCCAAGCTCACTATTTGAGTGACCAAGATTTATCTACACGTTCCAATAGGTGCGACCCAACAAGTCTAAGTCTGTCGATTCATCGTCTGGTCTAAATATAGATGCAGCTATTCAAATTCATCCAGGAATCTCCCTGTAATGACTGATCGGCCATTCGCAGGGACTTACTAAAATAATGTACACAAACCCATAATCTAAAGCACTTTCTGCAAAGGTCTATCTATTGTTAAATAGCACTGATTGTGTGTCGTGATGTCATATGACTACGCTGGAATGTTTGCCTCGACTTTAGCCTACATGCTCCAAGTTGCTTGGCCAGGCACGTAAACTCATTCGTCCATATTACTCTCGTTTGAAGTCCTCTACCTAACCTGGTGAGTCAAAATAATGAAAGCATTGTTTTTGGATCTCACTCTGACGAAAGCATATCGGCCCTGCGCGAGGCGAGCGTGTTACCTTTATTCCATCTACGAGCAAGTTCGAATGAACCAATCAGGTTAGTCAGCGAAAAATGAGTGCACATCTCGCTGAAGTATAAATTAGGCAATCTACATTTCGTTGGCATTTGTTAACCCACATGCCGTAACTGTATGTCACCTGATCAGCCATGGTAGTGCAATGCTCTCCCCACAAAAAGACCCCTTTTTCGGAGAGATTCTTTTCGAATCACGCCAGTTTTTGTATTGTAATCCTCCGTCGAGGGAAAATACCCAGCAGAATCGAAGAGATGACGTTCTGGTCCTTCAAATGACCGATTCAAGCCGCAGTGGAAATACCATCCCATTGACCCAAGTTATCAGAAGAAAACTTTTGATTAGAGGTAACAACTAAGTTAGCCATAGCACCAGTCGTCGGAACATAGGAAAACTTTCAATGTGAACTTGAGGCAGTGATAAGGAAACACGATGACCTAATATCTATTGAGTTCCTCATTGCTAACATTGTTTTCGCTGCTAGAACTGTAACTCACTGGATGATAAGGTTGTCGCAATAGGGAAATTGTTCAGCTTGAAATCCGTTCAACCTGATAGATGAACCTTATTTAGTGCACTTTACCATCATTGTAAGTGGTGTACTCTGGACTATAGGTTGCCTCGCAAAAATGGGGTCTCTTCCATTTATTATCCAAGTATCCGTCCACTCCATCCACAACATCTACTCTATTCCGCTCGACCAGCCTTGCGTGCAAAACCGACGCACCATACACACGATGGTATATGCCCACGTCGTCCACTGGTCGAATGATGACTTTGTGTACCTTTTAAAAAAGTGATCAAATTATTGACCGATTCACGTATAAAGTGGGTGGATGTATTTTTTGACCCCCACACTAGCACAATCACCTCCGTCCTTGCTCGCTCAATTTTTAGGTCTGTTTTCGTGTCAAATTTGCATTCGATCGTTTGTCCTCTTTAGGCTAGCTTACCGTGTTCACAACGTGAATTAGCGGCGGATTGTATATAGGGTGCTCACTTTCGACCATGCTTTTCAAATTTGGCCAACTGTACACTTCTGAATGTGCGCTTTTGTGTGTGCGTTTTTCTATGTGCAGTACGAACGTTTGTTTGTATGCGCTCGTCTAATGTCCCTAGTGCGCAGGCTTTGAAACGGCGAAGATGGTTGTTGTCCTCCGGGTCCGCCGTTCATAGTTGGCGGTGCGCATGCACACACGCATCGGCCTATCGACCGTTTGAGTTATCTGTTCAGCCACTGGATACGCGATCACTTCCGGACTTTGTGCCCGGTCTAAAATGTGTACTGTCCTCATGAGCACACATACACACGTCCGTACAAGCACACTCTCGTTCACTGGTCCGCTTTTACGGCACCGACTTATGATGATGGACTCATTTGTAATTGAGATCGACCCTACCCCGTCCATGTTCAGTTTCGCGTAAAAAACGTGTGCGGGTGTGGTGCCATAGATGGTGGTGGTGGTTGTTGGTTTATTTGTCCGATTGATTTTTGCAACTGTCGTGCCGTTGTCGAAAATTCAGGACTCTCGACGAATAGCTCTGTCATTCATATGCGTTCGTCTTCCTCCCTTCACTATCCTCCGCTCGCTCGTACGTCCGTCTCGGGTATCGCACATCACATTTGAGCGCACATATTTGTTCCATGCACATAGCCGGCGCTTTTTAAAATTTCAATTTGGCCGCCTTTGTTGAGTGATACCGCTACGACAAATGGTTGTTAAGTAATGCGGGATAGGTTGGTCAGAATAGTGGACAAGTACATATCTTGTTTCGCAGCTATGTGGGGCGTATTGCTCGCTACTCATAAAATCCCTTGTTACGTATTCCTACCACGTTTTCCCAATGGGCTTAATTTGTGCTACAGTCGCCTTCCAGGATAGAATCCACCATCACGGCAATCACACATGAAACGGAATCTGCTGGAACCATTTCGGTTTATAGGGAAATGTTGCCAGCTATTTAAGGTTGACCTGTAAGATGGGACTGAACACTGTTCAAAGGGATTGTTGATCATTACATCACCTCTGAAAAAACTGGAGCTATTCGTTTTGTAAAAGTAAAGCGTATTTGGATGCAGCGTGCGGGGAAATCAGTGCGTCATTGAACATGACCCCAAAACGTCTAAATAATTCATTAAAATAAACATCCATCGTTGGTAACCTCTAGACTTTGTAACTGCTTCATTATACTTTTGCCTCGTGTTACTCGAAATTAACTTGTTATGAACGCCTTGAGTAAACCATCTCATTCAGCAACCCCCACCCACCCAAGAACGACTATCCCGGGCCAAGCTCACTTCATTCCGGTCCCCTGAAACCTCGCTTGAACTCGGTACTGTTTTAGAGAATATGCGCAGCTTGTGACAAAGGTGACTCTAAGTAGATCGGTCCCCAAGAATAAAGACCAAGATTTAATATTCTTGTTTGGGTTTCTCCTACAGTAGAGCAATGAACACCAGTTTGTTTTTAACGTGAGTTTCAGCTAAATGAGCGTTATATATTATAAGAGACTCCTCCCTTCACGCAGAGTAGTATTCCGATCCACAATTTACCAAAGTGATCGGGATCCATTCTTGGTAATATACTGGGTTCGGAGGACCGGACTAGACAATTAAAAATGAAATCCTACAGAAGGAGCGCGGCTACGTAGCAATTTCCTCTTACCCAAGGGAGATTTTTGGATGCTTCCCTAGCTAATGGTTCTCAAACTCTTCGGCGCACACTCCCGTTACGAACGGCTTAAGTCATTATCACCCACTTATTTGGTATGTGCTACCTGAGCGGGGTGGTTCGCCAGGTAGACGCAGTCTGTGAGTTTCCGTCAACTTTATGTTCTGGTTAAACCCAAGTTGCACGTAATTCATGAAGTACACTAATTTGCACGTTAACTGGAGATTCAACTGAATTCCCGCTGTGATTGGGTTTAAAGCGCTACAAGAACGCCAAAAGTCACTGGTGTTGTTTGTCAGTTTGACCGCTGTGACTGAACGTCACTGTCTTGATGACATGTTGGCGTTATAGGCTCATGCTTTGGTGGAAACTTGTATGCGAACCTTTTATGACATTTGACTTATGCCAAAATGGTAGTTTCCCAACTGAGTTTCGAACCTCTACCGTGGTCATTTACCTTACTTTTATAAGAATATGTTACGTTCCAGGTGTCATAATGTAGGGTCACATTGTGCACCCTTTCCAGTGTATCATTGTATCATTTTGAAATTGGAGGTACGTGTATTATCATGTATTATCATGTGCTCACACGGTTGATAAAAGCTGCCATCACCTGCAGTAGGGCCTGTCCCCTCTGCTAAGACCATTTGGGCCGTCCTCTGTGAGTGCCTTCTATGAGGAGCAACTGTATGTCGATTGTACAAACCATTTTCCCGTGTGTGGTAGTTCGTCGTTCACTCGGTCGATAATCCTTTCTGTAATTAATAGTCAAGAGCATTTCAGATGGCTGCATGGCTGGCATTCATTTGCCTACTGGTGACACCTGGTTAATAGTAAAAACCCGGGTGGTTTTCGAAATTCACCTTAAATGGTCTGATGTTTGTCTAGGTTCAACTTGTTACCTCGAACTGGAGAGATCTTTCCTCCTAACCTAACGTGTACGAATCAGTTTTGTCCTATATTGAAGATACTTTTTTCCCACCGAGTCCGTTTCACTCAGAATGTCCTTAGTGCATTGATACTGAATTAGGAATCTAGGTAAGCATTATCCTCATTGATCGGGAGAAATGCTCTAACCCCAAAAACCCCTGTAGGAGGGAATTCCGCACAAGTGAAATCATTCGTTTTTCTCTAGGAGCTCTGGCTGTGGGTGTACGCAGAGTCGATTGGCTAGCGCAGCAGTTGTTCGCTCAGCGGACCTCTAATTTTTTTCTGCCAATGTTGGAACCTACTCACTCGGCTCATCACGTAGTATTTTACTCGACATTCACAGGCCAAACCGCTTACTTATCCTACCGAACACATTCAGGTGATTTATGATGCCTTTAATGCACCACAGTATGTTAATTGATTCTGAAATTGCAACCGTAGTTGATGGCGCTGAATGTTCCCGGCTGTTGAATTACCTGCTGCACAACTAAATACCCGTTTTCTGATCACCTCGTTACTAATCGTTGGTGCCATTCAAAGCCAGCAACGCCCCTGAGACATGCGTGGTAAAAAATTTGAAGATGCTTCACTTCATCTGTCCACAGACTGTACGTACTTCCGTTTTCTCCTCGTTACTAATCGTTGGTGCCATTCAAAGCCAGCAACGCCCCTGAGACATGCGTGGTAAAAAATTTGAAGATGCTTCACTTCATCTGTCCACAGACTGTACGTACTGAAGCATGGTTTTTGCACTTTGAAGGTGCTAGAAGCATTCTCAAAGATGGTATGCCGGTCATCAGTCTATTCAACAGGGCATGTGCTTCGACTTGGTCTTCCAAGATGAGGGCGATGTCGTCCGGTACTCCGGATCGACAAGGTTTTCATCAGCAACAATTTGGACACCGGAATTTTGAAGATCTTTTAGCGTCGCCTCAGTCTTTTATCGGCCATCCTTGTCGGACCCCACTTTTTGTAAGGAAGCATTTGGAGAGCTCACGATACACTCCCTGTGAAGTTTGTGAATATGGGGACCGGATCATATTCAGAAACTTCTGGGGCATACCATGCTGAACAGGTGTGGTTAACAGCGCTAACCGATGAACGGATTCGAACGCACCCTTGAAGTCAAGGAGAACCAAGATTACGGGTCGTTTGTACATGTGTTGAGATGTGGTCAACTCAACCTCTACCCGGTGGAATTCCCCCTTGATTCCCACAAGTCGATGTTTCGCAGGCTACCATAAGACGGCGAAGAATAGGTGACGCCAGAATTCTTATCATAACAGGAGTTGAACTGATGTCTCCATGGTTATTAACTTCCTGCGGGTGCCATCTTTGAAAAAGGGTCACTACTATCGATTCACTCCAGTTGTCTTGGGCGATCTTTTTCTCCCAGGTAGACCCAGATAGGCTACGCAGGCACCGGCTAAGCTAACCGCCGCCATTGTTGAGCAGAGCTGATGGAAGATCGTCAGTACCAACAGCATGATAATGGTTGATTAGAGATATACACTCGGAAAGTTCTGATGTTGAAGGCGGCTCTATACTCACAGTTCACTTCTCTGTTTAGGGCCAGGATACCGGATTGGAAGAAGCAGGTGACCAACTGGATTGCTATTCGAAGTACCATGCCCAGCGGTCCAAACGTTCTGTTTTGTTAGATGTCAGAGAGCCATTTTGGGTCCTGATTGTTTATTGTAGTTGGTGTTGGTTGCAGACGTGCAAGTGTGGTTTATTAATGTGATCAGCGTGATGAGTGAGCCTAATCTTGTCCCATTCTTTGACGGCTTCTCTGCTTACGACGCAAACTAGATATATGCGTTTTGAATCAGTGACCAAATGTTTTGAGACTTAATAGCTCACTCAATGCAACGAAGCCCATAGTTATTTCTAATTTCTAATGCGTTCGGGCTGCCTGCAGATATTTGTCTATTGAGAAGCAGCATCCCTTGTTATGGGGCCGAAATCCTCGAGTCAGTTTGTTGTTTCTTTACTAGAATACAAGCGATGTGTGGTATGGCTTCTTAATGGGATGCCCAACATTCACCGTCCCTTTGTCAACGGTCTTTGGCGCTGTACATGGTGTAGTGGTTCATCAGCCCTAGTCGGTTACACTTTTTGAGTGGGCTGTGGGGTTTGACCTATCCACTGTCCCAATTCTAAACTATCTACCCAACCATCCACGTCAGCTTGCAAGGTCTAATGCGGATAGAGGTGGATCGTAAACGTCGATGAAATCTGTCGATTGGTATTCTTGTAACGATTGAGTTTGAACATCTACATCAGTTCTGGTGGTCTCTCGAAAGATGATATTTCCATCCGGATTGGCAAGGCCAGAGCAGCTTTTGTGAACTTGCGTCACCTGGCGTGACATGAGCTTATCCGTCAAGGTTCAATTTTTCGATGCTTCGATGATACGAATGAGAAACCTGGCCGCTGTGCGCCGAGGAAGTCAAAGACTTTCAGTGCTTGACTATCGACGTCTTGGGAGCATTGCCCGAGTCTGTTAGGATCACCGGATCAGCAATGCTGAAGTACGTCGAATCGTATTCGGAAGAAGTAACTCACCCTCGATAGATGAACTGATCACACTGCATAGGTTGCGCTGGCTTAGCCACGTGCAGCGTATGCCAGTCGACCGACTTCCCCGAAGGGCCCTTTTCGTACAACTACATGAAGGGTGAAAACGGGTCAGAGGTGGTCAAACAATGACTTGGCAGCAAAGTGTAAAAGCTATTACCAGCAAACTCAGCTGTGCTGGTCATTGACGTCTTCCTGGATGGGGACCCCGAGACGGGCCACATGAATGGCTGGAGACATTTTCAGACATGGCCCAGTCCCACCCTCATCGGCGTTCGTGCATCCAAGCTATTCCTTCAATGCATAGCTCCCTTCCCTATCCCCTCACTCAGCGGTCCACTGACAGTGCTGTATTTGCGCACTAATTTATCAGCCTCCGCCTCCAATGCGCAGCTACCTACCCCACCTCCCCGAATCATCGGTGAACGAAACTGTGGCAGCTAAAACCACTGTACGACAAGTATGCTGTTCTTACAGCTCGTAATGACAATGATGATGTGATGATGATAATTATGCTGATGATGTTGATGATTATGATGATGACGATGGGTTTGCTGGTCGTTTTGACGAAATTGAAGTTATCCCCCGGCTTGAAGAATTGAAATAGATGTGTGTTTTGTCTGAATTTAGCTTAATCATTCAGTCCTTCGCCTGGACGAACGAGTGACGTCTTACTTGCATTAGTGTGTGACAGTCACGTGCGTGTTTGTTGGTATTGCGGTTGCTTTTATTTTCGCTCGTTTACACTCTTAATGACCCTTTCATGCTTGAGGCAGTTTTGTGGTTAGGACGCGAACTGACTGACCACAATCTCTGTGATTTGAACGCAACTCCGGAATCGCAACTGTTCCTGTCCGGGCTTGGACATCCTGACAGTATCGCAGCCCTCGTATCTCCATCCGATTACGCGGCAGCTAGGCGGTAAGGCAGGGGAGCATCAGTGTTGAACACTAATGTTATGCTTTCGATTAGGATGAAGCGGGTTAAAGATGAACGTGTTCGATAAAAAGGCACCACTAGGTTCTTTTTTATGACACTATCCTCGGAGTATGTGTGACTTCGTTACTATTAATCCTTCACTACCATTCGACGTCTCATCAAAGCTGTTTGGTGGCATTTCAGTTGCCATTTTCACCCACGGGAAAAGTACTTGTTGATCCATTTGCACAACACACTGATACATTTCTTTGGTGTCTGGGTCCGTATTCGGACTTCCGGTGAACTCAAAACTGGTCAGGTTAATTTGTTTTTATCAACAAATTGTTGGCCACCTCGGTCTGCTGCGTTGGAATTTATTGCGCATGTACGGCCACCGGTTTCGGATTACATGTCCGCCACACATGATGGTATGACCGGACATTGGTTTATACCACACTGTTGGGTTGTTATTTTCTGTTTTCTGTAATACTGTCGACTCAGAGTCGTACCAGGTCTGAGTCCTTTTTCTGTTCTGTTCAGCTTGATTACGACATTATTGACAATAGCCCTTGAATCCAGACACGCTGTTCACTTCTACTCTACTAAGCAACGTAATCGGTGTGCATAACGTATTTTATTTGAAATATTTTTCTGTAGGTTCAAATTTACTGTGGAAACAGTGTTCGGTTGTACGCCAGTTGTTTTTGTCAAAGGTTGGAAGTTAAGTTATCGAATGCACTTCGAAATTCCTGACACGAAGTACCGAGTTGTTTGACCATTGGACTTAAGAGTCGCTGGTAAGTGAGCGCTGCGCATGTGTTATAAAAGATAGTTCAATCTCAATTTCTCCCACATCAATGATACTTCACAAGTACTCGATGTGAACACTGATCTTTCAGCTCTACTCGTCCTCGAGTACATAGTCTCACATAATGCTGTATACAAAACCATCTAATCCTTCCGTTTTTAAAAGAGAATGCTCTCTACTAACCCTGGCTGGCCAAAGGATTTTTTTCTAGGCCTTGCTTGGCTACTAGTATCTCGGTAGTTTTGTAACTAGATTATGTAAATCTCCCGAATCCTAATTTTTCTGGCTGCACTTTTGGTCAGCCGCGTCGTTGACTGCCACTGTTCGCTCAGAAATAGCTCATTCTGTCACTGAGTTTATATGTAAGTCAGTGTGATTTTTCTCTGGTCGTCTGGCTTTAATAATGGACCATCGTAGACAGGCAGGCGCTTGCCATTCTAGCCGCGAACTGACTGACCACAATCTCTGTGATTTGAACGCAACTCCGGAATCGCAACTGTTCCTGTCCGGGCTTGGACATCCTGACAGTATCGCAGCCCTCGTATCTCCATCCGATTACGCGGCAGCTAGGCGGTAAGGCAGGGGAGCATCAGTGTTGAACACTAATGTTATGCTTTCGATTAGGATGAAGCGGGTTAAAGATGAACGTGTTCGATAAAAAGGCACCACTAGGTTCTTTTTTATGACACTATCCTCGGAGTATGTGTGACTTCGTTACTATTAATCCTTCACTACCATTCGACGTCTCATCAAAGCTGTTTGGTGGCATTTCAGTTGCCATTTTCACCCACGGGAAAAGTACTTGTTGATCCATTTGCACAACACACTGATACATTTCTTTGGTGTCTGGGTCCGTATTCGGACTTCCGGTGAACTCAAAACTGGTCAGGTTAATTTGTTTTTATCAACAAATTGTTGGCCACCTCGGTCTGCTGCGTTGGAATTTATTGCGCATGTACGGCCACCGGTTTCGGATTACATGTCCGCCACACATGATGGTATGACCGGACATTGGTTTATACCACACTGTTGGGTTGTTATTTTCTGTTTTCTGTAATACTGTCGACTCAGAGTCGTACCAGGTCTGAGTCCTTTTTCTGTTCTGTTCAGCTTGATTACGACATTATTGACAATAGCCCTTGAATCCAGACACGCTGTTCACTTCTACTCTACTAAGCAACGTAATCGGTGTGCATAACGTATTTTATTTGAAATATTTTTCTGTAGGTTCAAATTTACTGTGGAAACAGTGTTCGGTTGTACGCCAGTTGTTTTTGTCAAAGGTTGGAAGTTAAGTTATCGAATGCACTTCGAAATTCCTGACACGAAGTACCGAGTTGTTTGACCATTGGACTTAAGAGTCGCTGGTAAGTGAGCGCTGCGCATGTGTTATAAAAGATAGTTCAATCTCAATTTCTCCCACATCAATGATACTTCACAAGTACTCGATGTGAACACTGATCTTTCAGCTCTACTCGTCCTCGAGTACAT